AAATCAGTAGTATGAGATGTATTCACCCAATTTCGTTTAAAGTGATGAAGGACTGGTAGAAGAAGAATTTCGCCACAATTATGTGAGCTGAACAATCGACTACCATACTTAATTTTTTTTCATATTAAGTATTGTTTTCGTTACTACCAGTAAATCAGTAGTATGAGATGTATTCACCCAATTTCGTCTAAGATGATGAAGGACTGGTAGAAGAAGAATTTTCTCACAATGATATGAGTTGAGCTGACGTTTCCATTGCATTTCACATAGCCTTATTTTCCCAAATGCTGTTCTCATTCAGGCGTGAGTGGACTGCAGCTTCGACCTGGCATCGGTCTTATCAACACCCTCAGCGGGAGTCGAACCGCGACAGTGCAGGAAAGAAGCTTGACACGCCAACCACGAGCGCCTTTTGGGTCACAGGGCAAATGTAAATTTTCAAGGAAGGCCAGGCCTTTTTGCCATATCATATTCTTTTGGCGGAATTGTCGATGAAGCCGACGTATATCTGCTATAACAATCAACTACTATACTTTATTTTTCGAATTAAGTATTTTTTTCGTGAATACATCTCATATTACTTATTTACTGGTATTCGCGAAAACAATACTCAATTCGAAAAATAAAGTATAGTAGTTGATTGTTACAGCAAATATACGTTTGCTTTATCGACAATTCAACCAAAAGAATATGATATGGCCAAAAGGTTTGTCCTTCCTTGAAAATTCACACTTGCCCTGTGACCCAAAAAGGCGCTCGTGGCAGTGGAGCCGAGTGGTTAGCGAGTCAATCTCCCATCCTTAACTGTCGCGGTTCGACTCCCGCTAAAGGTGTTGTAAAGACCAGTTGATGCGAGGTCGAAACTGCAGTCCACTTCAGCCGGGATGTAAACAACTTTTGGGAAGCAAGAAAATGTGAAATTGAATGGAAACGTCAGCTCAACTCATGTCATTGTGGTAAAATTCTTCTTCTACCAGTCCTTCATCACCTTAAAACGAAATGGGGTGAATACATCTCATACTACTGATTTAGTGGTAGTCACGAAAAAAATAATTAATTCGAAAAATAAAGTAAATTCTCAATATGAGATGTATTTACACAATTTCGTTTAAGGATGAGAACAACTTCTGAGAAACAAGGAAATGTGAAATCGAATGGAAACGCCAGTTCAACTCATGTCATTGTGGGAAAATTGTTCTTCTACCAGTCCTTCATCACCTCAGACGAAATTGGGTGAATGCATCTACTATTAATGTGAA